CCATTTCACTTTTCTTTCACCAGTTCACCGCAGTTCTTCCAGCAGTCCACACTTTCTCTGCTCTCTTTTTTTCATCGTCTTCTCCTTCTTTCCCATCGCCCGGCTTGCCACAGGTTTGCCTGCTGCGTCTAAAAGTAGCAGCAGCAGCAACCCAGACTGACAGCTCATTCGCTGATTTGGATCACGTGTAGCCTGGTGCCAGACGCTACAGAGGGCTTAACCGTATTAACAGGAGAAGAAGCACAAGTGAAATCAGACACTGTCGTCGGACAACATGCAGTAATTTATTTTAAATCAGGTTGGGTCCGGTTTAGGTACCAGATCTGCTCATGGCCCCGCCCCCTCTTATGATGTCAATATATCGGACAAGCTATCTTGCACCCGTTTCTTAAGGATCAAATCTCTTTTGGAGTTTCAACATATTATTACCCATATTTAGTATTATTCTACATTTAATTTGCGATCTAAAATAGCCAGAAGTAGAAAACAGTAATTGTCAGTCCTGAAGGAAAGTACAGTCCTGCATTCTAGGACAGACTGAGCTCTAAAGTTCAATTATTATTTATTAAGAAAATGGAAAAGTCATGAGAGCTGTACAAAACAAAATTTCGTTTTGTGTATAGAAAAATGACAATAAATGTTGTCTAAGTCTCATTCCATTCCCAAATCTTTGCCACGTTCCTATTGAAGATGACCTTTTATTCTGGCAGAGGAACTGTCCTAACTAGATCAACTCTTTCCTTGCAACAGGCAGGTATTATTAAGGTTCAGCTGACTCACACATCATCAATAAGAATAATACTAACAACCAGACGCTCCACATATTGAAAATCAGAGCTTTTACAGATGTCTCATCTGGATGTCAGGCTAAAAGCAGGGAATTTGTTTTATCTATTCATGCCATGAACAAAGAGTCCATCCTGTCAGCTAGAAAAGCCTCTGCATTCATATCTAAAGCATGACAGAGTTCCTTCACTCACTGCTTGTTCGGAACAGTTAGAAGCAGCACTATTGTGGACTTGTTTGTTATTCTGTTCAGAAATGAAGCACCGGGAGACTTTACTCTGCAGACTGTAGTATCAGGTGTGCTGCTGCCATCAACACCTTTGCTTATAGATGTTGGAGATAGGCATGTTTTTCAGTGTAGTCCTGTTTCTCTGACTGTGACTGGCTGGATGTGCTCATGGGAGCTGGCTCGGAGCTCGTCTGCCTGGCTGTGTGTTTCCTGGACAGGGCCGCCTGTGGAGCTGGTTGCCTTTTGTATCTCTGCTTCTTTCAGTCTCCTTGAACCCCAGTCGCCTTCAGCAGATGGCCGCTCACACAGAGCCTGTGTATTCCTGTTAAAAGGGAGTTTTTCCTCTCCACTTTCTCTACGAGCATGCTTAGTGTGAGGGATTGCCTTTGAGTCAATGAGTCGATGCAATCAACTAGTTTTCCTTAGATAGAAAACTTTGAATCAATCTGACTGGATGATCTGGTTGAACTGTAAAGTGCCTTGAAATGACATGTGTTGTAAATTGGCGCTATAGAAATAAACTGAAATTGAATTAAAACTGAAGATGAAAATGGTATGAACGCACAGTGAAATGGTGCAGAAAAACTGCAGCCTTTCAATCCTGCTGCTTTTAGGCCAGAACTCTACGGTTCGGTGCGTCTGCTTCATCCTGCTGAGCGAAACTGTCCACCGCTGGATTCACCGCAAACCACGCACACTTCCACAGGCATGAAACCCTTCCTTACCTTCACCGCCTCCGTGTGAGTGACGGCGTCAAACACAGAGTCGTTGGCTGCTACTATCTGGTCTCCAACCCTCAGTCCTTCTCTCTCGGCCGAGGAGCCCGGCTCCACCAGGGACACGTAGATCCCCACGCCGTGCTCCGCCCCCCCGCGGATGCTGAAGCCCAGACCCTCGTGGCTCCTGGAGCGCGTCAGGGTAACTTGGCGCACCTCTCCAAAGAGGCCCTCAGAGAACAGCGGGGCCATGGACGCCGTGGGTTCCGGACAGCCCGCCGTGAGCTTGCAGAGTGAGCTCACATAGGCTTGCAGAGTCAAGTCGCCTTCGTCCCCAAAGCTTTCCGCGCTGCCGTTACTGGGAAGGAGGTCTGTGTTCAGGTAGAGCCCCTCGGAGGTGTACTGGTCAAAGAGGAGCTGGTCGGACCTCGGGATGACCAGGCGCAGCATGGGCAGCAGCTGCCGCTTCCCGGGCGAGTTCAGAATCACCTTCAGAGTTTGGACCAAGTCGAAGACGTTGCGTTTGGCGTGGTAAACATTTAGACAGTGGATGAACTGCTCTCTCTCCAGGTCACTGAGCAGCAGGTTGAGGCTGTTATGGAGCCTCCGCACATTTGCCGAGAGCGCACGGCCCCCTAAGCCGCTGGAGTTCACCGATGCGTTGGGGGAAGCGCGCTCTAGATCCGCGCTCATCCTACCGCATAACGGAGAAGCAGAGCCGGGTTCAGTGCTGAGGACGCATCGGGGAGCTGCTCCGGGGCCGATCAGTTCACATCTTCCATCAGCGAAGTTAAAGCGCTCGGTGGGAGTCAGGCATCAACAGGTGAGCGGGGATCAATGTGCGTAAAGGCGCTGATGTGCTCTACGTTTATCACGCAAACGGACACATTTCACCCATATGAGGCAGCTGTGCTTCCAAAGAAAAAACAGGCAAATCACTGTTTAATCCTCTTCTTATTCAGTGCCTAACATAAGCCGGACTGGGCGCACCTCAGAAGGTCCGCTGACACCTAAAACCAAGTCCAACTCAACAAAGAGCAGTCTTCATTAGGTGGATCCTAAATGTTTAAAACACACCAGTCCGTTTAAACGGGGAATATTTCTCCATGCAGAAACAGATGCTGCAGCAGACTGAGGTCCTCTCTGTGTGAGCGCAGCTGGAGGAGAGCGGGCAACGGGACGCGCTCAGGAGTCTTTGTCTGTAGGAAATGACGCATGTTTGTGTGACCGTGGCAGTGAGTGTTGCTTGGAAACTGCCAAACACTACTCTTAAAATGTAGACCGGAGATAATGTCTCACGGACAAAGTACAACTGAAACATGATTGTTAAAACGGGCCAGGAGGAATTATTATTAGTATTATTAATTATTGTTATCATCTTTATTAATATTATTAATCTTTCTCCAGTGGCTTAAAAAACAAGTTAAAATCCAATCCTGTTTATTTGGTCCAAAATCCACTGATCCACAAACTATTTTATTTAAACCAGTATTTTACTAATGCATTCCTGTTTATTTCCTGATCCTAATTGCAATGTAGTCTCAAATCTTTGAAATGCAATATATATAAGAAGGCTCAGCTGACTGCATCCAGTCATTGAAATTTACAGATGTTTCCTCCTCCTGAACAAGAAAGTGAAGACGGTGGAAAAGAAAGACGCGCTTGCAACAGGAATAGCTCCCAGTTGCCTCTACTTCTGGCTACTTCAGCTCACTCAGATAAGAAGGCCATGTGCCCCAAAAAACATATAGATTAAACAATAAAAGTCAGTGATAAATGTGAGGAGTTGGATCAAAATAAATCGTGCATCACTTGTTGATCCAGTTTGCTTTTTTTCTCATTTTAAATTTTTCTAGAAAATCTTTTCATCTCTCCAGGTTACTCATTTGTAAACCAATAAAGACTGCTTTTGTACATGTCGTCTGCTTTGCTTTGACTTCTTTAAGTAATTATAAACTGTGCTTTACAATAATTGAAAATACTGGTAATAATAGCAAAGAGCACCTTTTTATAAGGGGTAATTAAAACACACATTTTGCAAATTAGAATTTGAAAGAAAATGCAATCTGGAAATCAAACTGAAAAACATTTTAACTGTAACCCTATTTTTGCACCTGACAACATTAGCGTAATCAGCTGTCCGCCAGATTTGACAGGCGACACGAGTAAATGATAATATCAATCATCAGTGCCAAACCCTGACATATTGTGCTTGAAGTGAAAAGCGTTAACTATGAAGCACAATTTGAAAAGAATGCAACACATAAAACTCAATCTGAAAAATGGAAATGTAAAATTTAAATATAAAATCTGTAATAAAATAAATTGTGGGGGAAAAAAACTAAAATATAAATTAAGAAAACAGACTCTCAGTCACTCTCAGAACCTATTTTATCAAATATTTTTTAAAGTTAAATTTCTGGTTTGGATTTTCTTTAAATTTCCATTTACAAAAGATGTTCACTTCTTGCAACATTAATGAAAGAAAATACACTCCATACATTTATTATCCCCTGAAGCTGAATCTTTAGATCCACACAAACACAAAGCAGCAGCTTCAGACCTTCTCTATATTTATCCATCAATATACTCAGTGCAACCCTGACATTTGTCTCTGGATGATATCCTTGGAAAAAAAATGTCCCTCTCCGATTGATTTTAAAACCGCTGATCTCTCACTTCTCTCTCCTACACCTATGTGGCATATGCTATCACTGCTATTCTTTGGTACTTTAAACTCTTCACCTGTAAAATAACTGTGGACAACAACATCTGATTGGGGCAGAGTTGCTGCTCAGCCCGGATTCAGGTGACAGTGGGTGTCTGTCAGCCTTAAGCTGATCAAGCTGCATTATAACAGCTATCACCTCCCTGTCAAAACCTAAGCCTGAGGCTATTTTTAAGCCGCTATTATTAGAATCCCAGAGTTTGTCTTCCTCCTCCTGACAATCAAGAGCTTCCTCTGTCCCATTCAGATAAGGAGACTGCCAGGAGAAGTTCTCTGCACTTCAGGGCGCTGCCAAGGAGTCCGACTCCAGACTAGAGCAACACAGCTGGGCCTTTCTCAGAGCTTTACGCTCAGCACTGATAGAAACAAAAAGGAAACAAATGGTGGCATTTTCTTGTTGCTTATTAGATTTGGTCTACTCAGTGTTCCCATTACGTTTGATTTTATTCTACTAAAACCCATCCTTTAGCAGGATCCATTCAGCATCCGTGTGTAATGGTCAGAAAGTAAACAGATTTTGATCTGTGTAGTTTGAACATTGTTGAAGTGAAGATTCGAGAAGAGATAAAACAGGATAAGAAGGTGCAGAAAGTGGAGATGTGCTGGACTATAATTAGAGAAAAGAATAAGATAATCATTTGAAAATAAAATAAAGGGGAAGGAAAACCAAGCACCTTTGCCTTCTTTGATTAAGGCTAGAACTTTTCCCACCATGGGCGGTCTATACAGGGGCCAACGGGGGCCAGGGCCCCTGTATATCAAGTCCTGGCCCCTTTTATGGCCCCTGTACTGAAGACATAATACTCAAAGAAATTCTAATGATGATATGTGCTGGAACAGACATGGTTACTGATAGATCCTTTGGATGTATTTAATTTTTTTCTTTATAAATTCTGTTTTATTAACTGTTTAAAAACATAGCATAAGTGGTATTGAGAGAGAATCCCAGGTTTAATCTGCTAAATGTTTTTTTTTCCAAAACAAATGTAAAAAAAAATACTCTACTTTTTACAGCTAATTTTAAGTTTTTCTTAAAATCTAATTCAGATTTTATAGAAAACTATAATTTCAACTTAAATTAAGTAAAAAAAAAAAGTAAAATTCCTAAATTCTGAATGTATATTGACCTATTAAGACATTTAGAATTTTAATGAAACCTAATTGAATAGAAATTTCACTTCATGCAGCTATCTTAATTTATTTGTATCCCTTGCCCTGTTTTTTTTTTTTTTTCATGCTTTTCTGTGCCCCCATGAAAACACGCTGGCCCCCCTCTGGTACATTTGGTCTAGAACCGCCACTGGTTCCCACCCATTATGGATTAATGGGTGGGAAATCCCGCCTTAGACTGCTGTAGAATCTGCTGAGGGAGTAAAAGCTTAGGGGTAGGGGAACGATGAAGAGTTGGAGCTCCAGATGAAGGTCATTTTCAATTAGGAATACAAGCAAAAAACAGACATTTATGTGAAGAATTTAATCACTGTAAAATATTTTTCAGTCATTCAAGAAAGAGGGATAAAGGATTTTTTTTAAAGAAAAAAAAATCAGAGTTACTGTGAATATTTTGGCTACTCATCATCCAAAACAACCAATTCAGTTTATTTATATAGAACCAGTTCACACACATTTCCTCTCAAGATGCTTTACAGAGAGAGTTCAATCAAATCATACAGGCAGATAAAAAGTACAAAGTTTCGATCTAAGAAAAACCAGCACCAAGTACTGATTCTGTAGAACTCTCTCCTCTGGGATCAGCTTGTGGTGACCTCCAGTAGAACCAGGCTTAGTCTGAGTGACCTTTTGCCGAGGCTCATTTGGGGCTCAATGAGATAGAAGCAGACATAGAAATGGTACAGAGAAGCACTAATCTATAAATACTTTCTATGTTAGAAAATGTAGCAGTAAACTAGCTCCATGTGTGACTGTCTGGGTAAGAAACAATTGAGCAGAAGAGTTCTGAGTTTCCATGTCGTAGTTCCAAGGGAGCAAATCAGATTAGTCACAGTGAAAGATGATCCCATATCTATGTCTAGAAAAAAAATTGGATTCAACACTAAAAAACAGGCATAATACTGTCATCCATAATGAGAGTTGTTGAAGGTAGCAACTCAGCTGATATTTCTCTCCAAGATGGTTCACAGCCAAATGGCAACAGACTAGATGAGAAAAAAGCTGAGAGAAGATTATGATATGGGGTAACTAACAAATGCTGCAAAATGGGAGCATGAAGATAGAATGAAGGAGATTTATGAAAAGTGGTCTCTAGGTCCTCCAGCAGTCTAAGCCTATAACAGCTTAACTATAGAGAAAGCTCAGGAAAACTTGAGCAACTCTAACAATAAGCTTTATAAAAAGGAAAGGTTTTAAGCCTTGCCTTAAAAGTAGACAGGGTGTCTGCCTCACGGACTAAAACTGGTAGTTGGTTCCACAGGAGAGGAGCCTGATAACTAAAAGATCTGCCTCCCATTCTACTTTTAGAAATTCTAGGAACCACTAGTAAACCTGCAGATTGAGAGCGAAGTGCTCTGTTAGGAACATAAGGAACAATCAGATCTCTGATATCAGATGGAGCTTGGCCATTTAAAGGAATAGTACACCCAAAACATGATTAGCCTTCATTTTCTACTCACCCCCATGCTGAACAACACTCTGGAGTACTTTTTTGATATCTCAAATGCATCTGGAGATCTGGGAGGCTTCTTGCTGTCTGCTGACATTCAAATAAGTCCACAAAAAACGTGTCAATATTCCTCCATACTGCTCGTCCAATGTATTCCAAGTGTCCTGAGTGGGTAGCATCCAGAATTTACTCGAAACAAAGTCATTTAGAATGTTTTTAGAGCATAAACAGCAGTGTATAGGATTTCCTGAAAGCGCGCACATGCGCGTTCACGACGCTACGGAAGCCGGCAAACCAAACCAGCGCATTCAGCTCGGCAAAGAACTCATGCTCTTCCTCAACACTGAAGTCCTCAGACATTTTTCTTTCGTTGTTTCTTTCATTGCACAGGTAAACAGCACATTTCTTCTTCTACGCTTGCATTAAAAGCAGAGCAGACGCTGAATGCGCACTTTCATCTGGTTTGGTCTGGCGGCTTCCGTAGCGTCATAAACGCGCAGGTGCGCGCTTTCAGGAAATCCTATACACTACTGTTTATGCTCTAAAAACATTCTAAATGACTTCGTTTCGAGTAAATTCTGGACGCTACCCACTCAGGACACTTGGAATACATTGGACGAGCAGTATGGAGGAATATTGACACGTTTTTTGTGGACTTTTATGGACCTTTCTGCCTCGGGCGCCACAGACATCCATTATTTGAAT